TTACGCCTCTCCTCACTCAGTGGACTTACGAAGCAATGATACATGAACTTATTGGATTTAAAAACAATCGGGTAGCCTTTTCCCCTGAAAATACTCCCGAAGCTCCCACCGAAATTACCCTGTCAAGAGATTATGATGAGTTCTTTCGTAACAACCAATACAAAAACTTTGGAGAGATCGGTCAGTCAATCAAGATGTTGGTCGAAAGCTTTCAGAATGCTACAAAAACGGTTGACGTAGGAGGTGTGAGCTCATTAAATGATCTAAAGGGTCTGTTGGAGAACTATCCCGCTTTTCGAAAAGCTTCCGGAGCCGTCGAAACTCATGTCACACTTGTTTCCGAACTTTCTCGTCTGGTTAAGAATAGGTCCCTAATGGAGCTTAGCGAGATTGAACAGGAATTGGTTTGCCAGGATAATCATTCAGTGAGCTTCTCTCGAGTCAAATCTGTTGTCACTGATGCGAAGTTCAGAGACGCGGACGCTCTCCGTCTGGTGCTTTTGTACGCCTTACGCTTCGAGTCACATCGCAAGGAAATTTCCACCTTGTCTTCCTTGTTACTCGAGAGAGGACTAAGTCCGGAGGATGTCTCCCTTACCGAAAACATTATCACCTATGCGGGGACTCGGCAACGTAAAGGGAGTTTTGACTTATTTTCCGCCGTCAAACAGTCAGGTTTGCAAGCAGCAAATCCTTCCGTCGCGAATGCTACTAATACTGTTGCATCTCTTACCAAAAGGTTGGTAAAAGGTCGAAAGGGAGTTGAAAATATTTACACTCAACACGAACCCCTCATTATTGACGTCTTACGTGATCTGATCAGAGGACAATTGAAAGAATCCTCTTTTCCTATTCTTGAATGTGCTGATGGCTTCAACAGTTGCCCACAATCATCATCATCAACCAAAAATGTTATTGTATTTATAATTGGTGGATCGACCTATGAAGAGTCTTTTGCTGTGGAAAAATTAATGAAATCGGCACCTGGGACTACAATCCTTCTGGGATCCACCTTCATGCACAATTCGGAGTCCTTCCTCAAAGAAGTTAGGGCAGCTATTGCCAACCCAGACAGCGTCGATGTAGACCCCGAGTCCTCGAATAGAAACACGCGAGGAAACTTTCCAGTTACTCTGGGATTTGCTAAAGCTCCCAAACACACGCAGTATTCTCTATTGCGTTGAGTTCAGTTTCATCGCCTCCTTATCTGTGATCAAACAGCGTATCCTCACGTTTACTTTTTTTCTTCTCAAACCTTACTTCAAACTCATATTTTTCGTCAAGATGGCGTGTTGTGCAGTTAATTCCTTCGTAGTGGTTTGCATTTCGTCATGTCCACTCTTGTAATTTTGTATAATAAATTGTGTTCCCGTGATTAAGTTATTTTCTTGTTCTCGCTGAGGCTTTAAGTCTTCCGTACTTCATTTTGCTTATAACTACTTACTTTCTACAAATATGATTTGTTTACTGGGTCCCCGTTGGTACCGCCGTCGGATTAGTACACAACCATTTTTTACTTCTTTGGAAAGATCACTTATCACTAAAAGGTATTTTAGATAGCTTGCGGTACTTGCCAATCGTATTCACTTGCATAGTCATAATTGGTGGACAGCAGTGGCAATTTCTTTGAGGAACACTGACTGATCCTTAGCGGAACTCATTCTTCCCGGTCTGCCTAAAGGGTCACTCTAAATCCTTGGATGGCACACCTGGATTTGTGTATGACTGGCTGTCAACGG